ACGAGCGGATAAGAAAGCAAACGATGGATGCAACTATTCGTGCTCATTGGTTGTCCGTATTGCGTCTTGAAAAATGAAGGCGTTTTGATTCCTCGTGCTTTTTCCCTCTTCTTACTCTCTCACGTCGCTTTTGCTCTTTAGTGGTATACTATATCGCCATTCACTGGCAATACGTCACTCAGGCAAGCAAAAGCAAATCGATTTAAATAATAATATTAGGCCTAAGTTTGCCGATGCCGTCACTAATGTGTCCGCTAAAGTGGCCGTCATGAGTTGGGAGACTTTAACGCGCGGATAGGAAAGCAAAACGCTGGATGAAACTTTTCGTGTTCAATGGTTGTCCGTGTGGTGTCTTGAAAAATGAAAGAGTTTTGTCTTTTCGTTGCTATTTCCGAACTTTTTAACCTCTATTGTTTCTTCCTCTCCACTGCCGCCTTTGAAATTCTCTGGCAACGTGTCACTTAAATGCCAGCATGTACACTCTCAAAAGGACTCAAAAAGAAAAAAAAAAGATGAGCACTCTCTAGGTTTGTTTTGCGGTGGTTCTGCCGCACGCAAACGATTGCGGAGCGTTGCAAAAATGACGCGCGCGCGCGACCCTGACGTCAGCGCGAAACTCGGCAACCGAGCTGTGGTCGTCACGTCACTAATGAGCTAGGAGAAATGATTGATAAAAATATTGCGTCAAATCGGCAAATTGCACGTATGTGACGTGGAAAGTGGCGTCGTTGCCCTGCCGAACGTGGAAAGGCGTTATTAACGGTGAAAACTCTGGGAACCCTAGAGCAGAGCGGCAGAGGAGGAGGCGCCAAGTCCAAGGTTTGGGTTGTACTACGCGAGTACACGACGTGCGACGGTCACCGCCCGCTAAATGCGCGCGTCGCGCCGCCCCGCGCCGGCTCCATAATTCGCACGCCTTAATAATTGTGGTATTTCCGGAACGGAACTAGCTGCTGAGTCTCAAGCCTCTGGCTCCTCGCAGCAGTACGGAAGAAGCTTTGAAATCTAGGGTCCCAGATGCCTTTCACGATGGCTTTTTCTCACCAGGCTAGCTTTACACGATCAATACAAAGAAGAAAAAAATGCGGTTCGTATGTAACAAAAACATTATTGATTCATTTAAAGGACGTTCTACAGCACTTTGTATTGGATCGATCAACTGATAGTTTCTGAACCTCAGGACATTTCTTAAAGATTTCAGAACATCATATTATGGAAAAGTCGTAGGATAGGGTATTTCTACGCAAATTTTGACCCAGAACCATTGAGAGATGCGCTTTTAAGAGTAGTTTCGAGTAAATATCGCAAATCAATGGGCAAAACGCACCGTACAATTCAAATGTGAATTTAGAAAATTAGACGAAAAGTGGTGTAATATTTGTTTTTGTTAGGTTTGACAACTGTTTTTAAATATCCAATGACGGTTGAGATGTGTCAGTGGAGCCACATTGAAAATTTGGCCAAAAAAAGAGGAGTGGAGAGGGCGCCGGGCGGCCTAGCGGCTCTTCTTTGACTCACCATCTTATCCGGACATCATGAGATAAGGTAAGAAAAATGACTTCAACTCCGATTGCGCTGTTGCTGTCTCCACTCCTGTTTTGTTTCTTGAAAAGAACACTAACCGAAAACTGTTCTCAAAATTTTCTGCGCATTTACTCATATTGGAGAGTATATTCACAGAAAACCTCAAGAAGATGTTTTGATCGCTTTCATTGGTTTTAAAAGCTAAAAATATAACCTGAAAATTTTAAATTGATTTGCTTTTGCTTTTTGCCTAAGTGACGTTTTGCCAGTGAATTGCAATATAGTATACCACTGCAAACGCGATGTGAGAGCGTAAGAAGAGGGAAAGAGCGCGAGAAAATCAAAACGCCTTCATTTTTCAAGACGCAATACGGACAACCAATGAGCACGAATAGTTGCATCCATCGTTTTGCTTTTTTATCCGTTCGTTAAAATCTCTGAACTCATCACGGCCACTCTTACGGACACATTTGTGGCAGTGTATTGCGGCCAACTTGGACTAAATATTATCAATTCTTATTCATTCATTAATTCTCAACATTGAATAGTTATCCTTCTCTCAAAAAATAGTTTGACAAACTTTCTCCACACAGCATTTCTGTGAAGCTGCGCTAAAAAGCTGCTTTTACCGCTTTCGCGACGAGAGAATGTGCACTCTACACTGTAAGTCACTACGGTGTACATAAAAACATTGATTGATTGGGGGGGTGGAGGAGAGTGGGCAGGGGGGGGGGGGA